ATATTTCACAATGATAATACTAATTGAAGAATTGTATTCATTTTTAAAAGTTTAATGAGAATGCATTACGGAAGCTTGTGTATATGAGCTCTGAGCATCAATATAATATTTATTCTTTTTCTTACCTGATGATATCCCCCCCTGAATCCTGGTTTGTTTCAGTGCTCAGAAAAGCATCATTGGGGAGTGTTGGGTTAAAAAACTAATTTCTGAATATTACAAGAAAAGTTTTCAAATGCTGCGAAATCTTTACTTGTTTATGCATTCTTGAGAGTTCTGTAGCCTCTGGCCAGAGTCCTGTACAGAGGCAGATACCTAGTTGGCAGACTGTTCAAATGTTTGTGCCAGTACCTGGATATTCAAGCGGATTTGAATTGTTTTACTGAAAATCCTAATGCTAATTGTCAATGCAGGTTTTCACAGTTAGTAATCCAAAATATTGTTCTCATTATGTATGCAGGCTTTTTCACAATTGGGTAAATTCTGGAATAATTTTTTATGTATGAGAATCTTTTAACTTCATGTTAAATTGATCTGATTCATTCACATCAAGGTTAGAAGGGGTAGTAGGTATTTTCTGAATCATACTTTTGAACAGCCATACTCTTGAACTATTATTAATTTATCAAGACTACAAACCATTTCACTTTCCAAAGGAACCTCATATTAATTAATAAGTATTGGAACCTCACCACCTGTCTTGATATCCCCCTGTCTTGATATCTTCTCTTTGCCCTACTTTACATTGCAGTCATAGGGTCTTGTTATATATTCTTCTGTTACTAGGTTTTGATATTCTGATATTCTGAGAACATTTCTTCACAACAAAAAGTTTATTTAAGGCACTTTTATACCACTTATTCAGGAATAATGCTTTTCAAAGTGATTTATAGATTACAACCCCTCCCCACAAACTACAGTAAACCTAAAAATAAACAATAACCCCCCCTTTCCCTCTGACATTTTCTGGATATATTGTATTAGCACATTGTGGCTCCTTGTGATTTTGATATAGGCAGAAGAAAAAGTGGGGAGTAATAGATAGGTGGCATTGACTGACGCCAAAAGATTGAATTAGGCAGAGGTCATTTCGGGGGGGGGGAACGTGGGGGAACGCAGTTCCCCCGGGTGAGGTGCAGGGGGGCAGGGCACATGATGAAGCCCCGCCCCCTGCTTCCGGCCGCCCCGCTTCCAGCCCTCATTCAGCCAGGAGGAGGCAGGAGAAGAAGGAGGGTAAGTTGCTTCCTCCCCGCCTCTCCTCACCCCTGCCTGCCTGGGGCCAGGGAGGGCCTTGGCGGGGCTTCCTCGCACTCTCGCTGGCCTTGCAGGTCCACCGCCGGGCCCCTGATGTCAGGGTGTGTGGCATATGCTAATGAGTTATGCTAATGAGTTCCCCTAGCTCTTTTTCTATGAAATGACCCCTGGAATTAGGTGAATTCATAGTCATTTCTAGCTATACTAATTCATGATTCATAGATTCATATTAATCTGTGGTCCAACTTTAGAACCTGTGACAGAGCAGCTGTCATTACAGTTGCTGTACCTCTGCTTGTTAGTAGGGTTGCCAGGTCCCCTTACCATTGCAGCAGGGGATTTGGGGGCGTTCTGGGGGTGGGCAGGGCATCACAATGTCCTTGACATGATGATGTCACCTGGAAGTAATGTGATTACATCAGTGATGTCACACACAAAGTTCTGGTTTGGGAGCAAAACTCTATGGTTTTTTGGCTTCAAAATCACAGTTTACCCCCAAACCAGAGCGTTACCGCATAACATCCCTGGTGCAATGATGTCACCCAGAAGTTACGTCATCGTGTCGGGAACGTCACACAATCATGTCCCTGTTTGCGGGTGGGGTTTCTCCCACCAGCCAGCTGGCCGGCAGCGGACCAAAGCCCCCAAAAGTAGGGGAATCCCCGCTGTGACCTGGGGGCCGGTAACCCTACTTGTTACTAATCCCTTAGTCAGGGTGCTTGACAATAAAGGAACTGAAAAAGCAGTGGTGGGGAGGATAACTGTATATGGGCTTTTGAAGAGGCTGTTGAAGCAGCTCAGGAGCACAATCATTGGCATGGAAGCACTCATGAAGTTTTCCTTTGTAAATTACATGTCCGGAAAATGGACAGCTTTGCAAAAACTAAGTTGAGAATGCTGCATTAGGTTTTGTGGTACAAACTATTTTGGACATCAGTCTTGGCTTACCTCTTGCTTCCTATTTATTTATTTTTTAAAGACTGTCAGAGTCTTCTGCTTTAAACAAATGTATAGCATTTAATTATCAGTCCACATATGTCCATGTCATTTATGACTTGAGAAGCTTCATTTTTAATATATATGTCACATAACTGTTCAGTGATGTTCTTGCATTGCCAGTGAGCTTGGCATCTTTATTATACAACTGCCATTTGCACTTGGCAGAGAAATTATTTCCCTGTCAGTACAACCCTTATTTATCTGAATAGCCAATTTAAAAGTTAAAATTAAAAATGGAGACATTATAGTAATTATGTTGAAAGTTTTATCAGATGAGTGCATGCACTGAATTTATTCACTGTGCTAAACTGGTGGATGCATTTCTATGCTATTTAATTAGTAGAGTTGGCACAAATGCAAACACAGCAAGAGATGTGCATCCCCCAAATGGAGATAAAATGCTTGTTCAGTTTCACCTCTGCTGTAATGTGTCAAAGAAAAATATTGATAATTTTAGTTCCGGGAATAATACACCTTCCCAGTAGAAATACAGAAATACCAACTCCAGGAAATTAGTGAGGTGATAATATTTGTGTACTAGGTTGCATGTTGTGCTGCTACTGTGTTGGTAATGAAGCACATTTACCAGGCTAGAAATTACATCACATCTGCAGCAAGAACTGGCCTGGGGGAAGGATCATGTGTGCATGTGTGTGGCGTACATACAATTGGCTTGAATAAAACAAGGACACAAACTTACTGAACACAGATTATTTGGGTTTGGTGTAACCTAGGTAGGGTGTTGACAGTCTGACTGCTGACTGGCGATCTCCAGGGAAAAAATAGTAGGTTAAAGCAGGAAGCAGTGCAGGAGTCACTGTTTGTGCCCATTACCAGCAACCTTGGTGGCACAGCTAGCATATAAGCATTATCCTTGAAATTCCTTAAGTGAACCCTCCAGATAACAGCATGGAATCCATAGGAAAGAGCCAACAATGAAGGATGTTGCATTGCCCCTTATCTTTTCAACCCTTCCCTCTCCACCAGGCACAGTGGGATGCCTTCGCTTACCGTTGGGAACCAGCCATACTGAACGTAAAGCATTTCAGTATCTGCACAATATATTTTTTAAATATATACTGGCTACAGTCACCAAATTCTTGCATTCCAGAGTGGTAGCTATGTTGGTCTGAAGATACATGATGTTTTAACTTTGGTTTGCAGATTATGAATACATACGTTTATATGCACATATATGTATATAACTACAAATGAAAAAAACAGAGAACGGTTATGGGGATATAACAAAATGAAACCAAAATGCCATGCAGTCCAAGGGATAGGTATGTTGCATAAAGAGGCAAAATGAGATCTAGGCATAAGAATAACAGATCCATAGCCAAATAATGATGAATGAGCAAAGCAAGAGGAATAGTATACACAAACCCTTTGTATCTGTAACTTCCAGACAAATCATTGGCATGGTCATTTTTTGTTAAGTGCTGATCACTTGTAAAAGATGAAAAGGTGTTGGCAATAAAAGAATTGAGAGTACCAATAGTCTGGGTGTTGGATATGGCATGCATAGTCTCTCTGAAGCTACTTCTAGAATAAAAAGTGCCAGAATTTAGTGCAGCATAGAAGTTGTGTTTTCTGACTTGGAAGCACTTCTCCCTACTCCCAGATTCATGGGGGCTTTTATGATATGCACTCTACTTATAGTCAGAAGTGCATACTACTGTATTATCCTTACCTGTGCTTGAGTAACAAAGCCCCTTCCAATGGCTGATGAATAGATATTTTATGTATTTATTTAAACCATTTTCATGCCTCCTTTCCACCCAATCAGAGTCCCCGAGGCGGCACACATCTAACATTAGAACAATTAAAAACATTACAATTATAAAATAGTTCAATAAAACACATTTTAAAAAACACCAGAGCCAGGGAGAATGTGCAATAATAGTTACTGGGGATATGGCAAATGAAACAAAAAAGTCTTCACCCTCTGGCAAAAGACACCGATAGAAGGAGACTGATGAATCTTCCTGGGAAGAGAGTTCCAAAGTTTTGCTGCCATGATGGAGAAAGCCCTGTCTCAAGTCGCCAGCTGTCTGGCCTCAAATGGCAGGGGCAGCTGAAGCAGGGCCTTCAAAGATGATCTGATTGAGCAGGTAGGTTCATGTGGGAGAAGGTGGTCCTTAATATATGCTGGTCCCAGGCTGTATAGTGCTTTAAAGGTCAGTGCCAGCACCTTGAAATTGAGCCTGGAAGCAAATTGGAAGACAGTGTAGATGAAACAAGACCGAAGTGATATGGTCCCTGTGACCCACACCAGTCCACACTCTGGCTGCAGCATTCTGTACCAGCTTTCAGACAGTCTTCAAGGGCAGCCCCACATAGAGCATATTACAGTAATCTGATCTGGATGTTACCAGGGCATACACCACAGTGGCAAGATCTTTTCTGCCCAGGAAGAGCCACAACTGCCTCCCCAGCCAAAGCTGGTGAAAGGCACCGCTGGCCACCACTGCCACCTCTTTATCCAACAGGAGCACCCCCAAGCTACAAACCCACTTCTTTAGAAGGAGTGCAACCCCATCCAGAACAGAGGATAACCCATTTCCTGGGTCAGACCTTCCCCCTCCCAGTAGCACCTCCGTTTTGTTGGGATTAAGTTTTAACTTGTTTAATCCTCATCCATCCAAAACTGCCTCCAGTCACCTCTTCCCAGTTTCCACAGCCTCCCTGGGATCTGCTGATAGCAGTATCATCTACATATCGATGGCAGCTCAGCCCAAATCTCCCAGAGGCTTTATGTAGAAGTTGAAAAGCACAGGGGACAAGATGGAGCCACAGAGAACCCTGTAGGCCAGTGGCCAAGTGGCAGAGCAGTAGTCCCCCAGCACTGCAGTTTGAAACCTACCTGTGAGGTAGGACTGGAACCATCAGAGATAAGTGCCTCCCAGTCCCAAAAGGTGATCCAGAATGATACCATGATCGATGGTACTGAAAGCCACTGAAAGGTTGAGAAGAATTAACAGGGTGACATTCCCCCTGTACATCTCCTGGTGAGCAAGGCCATTTCAGCCCCATAACCAGGCCCAAAACCAGATTGGAATGGATCCAAGCAACAACAAAAAATCTGCTTCATTCAGGAATCCCTGAAGTTGGCCAGCCACTGCTTGTTCAATCACCTTGCTCAAGAATGGTACCTTCGAAACTAGACAACAGGTTTCTCTAGGAGTGAACGTACCACTGCCTGCTTCAAGGCAAGAGCAGCTACCCCCTCTTTCAGAGAGGCATTTTCTATCTCCCAGAACTAGTTCGCCAGCTCCCCTCCCAGCAGATTTAAGCAGCCAGCAGGGGCAAAGGTCTGAAAATCTTCCAGCACCATAACATTGTTCAAATGAAATCCTGAGGGGAATAATGATAGGAGCAAATGAAAAATGACTGATATTTTTCTATTTATATAGCTGCCTTATTTATTTATTTAAGCATTCTTAGGCTGCTTTTCTCCACAGAGGGGACACAGAGCAGTTTATAAAAAAGGAAAATAAGTTTCAAATTACAAATACAGATCCCCCCCCAAACACATCAGGGCTGTTTATTACTGCTTTTAATGTGGATCAGGCAATATAATAGACATTCTCAATAGGTGTAGAGAAACAACAATGGACTGTTAAATTGAAGCTTAATCCTCATTAGACTGAGATGCTGTTGGTAAATGAATGATTAGTCAAGCATGGGGCTGTTTCCCCTGGTTTTGATATAGTTACACTCCTCCTTAAGGATCAAATGCATGCATTTGGAGCACTTTCAGATGCAGCTTTAAGAGTAGATGCTCAGGCAGCATCTGTTGCATTAAGCATCTTATATTAATTTTGGATTGTGTGTCAGCTGTGGCTCTTATTGGGTGGGATTGATTTTACCCCAGTTATTGCATATAATATCCCAGGTGATTACAGGATGATGCCCCATGTTCTATGTGAGCCTACCTTCATTTGGAAAATGTGCAACTGCTCAAGGTTTGGATAGTCATACTGTATAATTTCTCTTATACAAAGAGAACTTTACTAATTCCTGGTTTGTTGAAGGTCACAGTTCAAAAGTATTGATATTGACTGATAAAGGTCTAAGTTATCTTGAAACGGGATACCTTCACAATAATTTACCCCTGTATGAATCTGTCCACCATCTGAGATCTGTGTTGGGGCCAGGGCTTTTTTTGTAGAAACTCATTAGCATAATAGGACACACCCAACAGTAGAAACTCATTAGCATATCAGGCCACACCTCCATGAATTCCCTTGGCTAGCCTGGGCAAGCCGGCCCTTGGAGAGGAGGGGAGGTAGTTTAAACTGCCTTCCCTCGGCTTGCCTGGGCACCCCGCGAGCTGGCCCTTGGAGGGGAAGGAAGGCACAGGGTGGCATTCAAATGCCTCCTCGATCCTTCCAGGGCCCCCCCTGGCCTGTCCACCTCAGAGTCACTGGGGGGGGTCGCTCTCCAGGCCTTCCTTCTGTAGCCACGCATGTGCAGAGGTTTTGTCTGTAGGTGTGGGCGTGGCCAACTCGGAAGCCAGCTGGAACTCCGTTCCTGTGCGTTCCTGCCCAAAAATAGCCCTGGTTGGGGCCTTTTACTGAGTAAGGCCGGTGACTATCTGTGGTGGTGTTTTGGCTATGGGAGTTCTATTCCCAGTTCTCCTGGCATTTACGTTAGCATCTTTTAAGCACCAGGTGAAATTTGTTCTGTTTACTCATACTTTTTGTCACATACAGAGGACATCTCTGTTTCATTGTTATTATGTCACACTATTCTGTGTTTTACTTGTGCCTTTGTGTTTGTATTTCATTTTTAAAATTTCTAATTGGCCATCTTGACTGCCTTTGTGGCAGAAAGGTGGCTTATAAATTGCTTAAATGAATAATATTATTGGTATTATTATCTACATTAGTAATATGTTTCAATGTGTATTATAATTTCCCCGATTAGATTCTGGTGGCTATTGTGAAAGCTGTATTTACAACTGTTGAAAATAACACTTTCTTTGTAAATGAGACTACAGAAGAATGATCAATCAAAATGTCTTATATGCTTAGGGATTTGGAAATCATAGGCAAAGTTTAATGCAAATGGGAGATTACATTAATGTATAAGTTAGTCTTTGTCATATTCTATAGGATGTTTCACCAAGTAAATAGCTTTCAAATTTGATTTGACTTGAAGTTATTTTAGTTAATAACTAACTTTAAAGAGCTATATTAACAGGTTAAGAGGTTAAATCTAGTCAGTTGTTAATCTGTTGTTTAAGAAATTATAAACACTATCTCAACACAAAAAGATGAAAAAGTAACATTTAAGAAAAAGCTTCTTTAGGCAGGTGAAAGGGACATTTATATTGGAAGCTATTTTATCTTATCCTAGCCAGACATTCTGTTCTGACAGCAGTATCTCTTATAACAGCTTCCAGCATACCCAATCACGATCAAAAAAGCTTAAAACTCCAGAGGACAAGAAGGTATCAACCATACTGGTTGGTACAGAAATCACAGCCACGGAAGCAGCTATGGATAGCTTCAAGGTCAATGAAAAGCCATTAGAAAAAATAAAGCCAGTAAACACTGAAGTGCCATCTGGGGCAGAACAAGATACAAGAATGATGCAAATGGATCAGAATTTATTGGATAGCAAAAAGGTCTCAGGTGAGAAAAGTGATATTATTTCCCATAGAATTCTTACGTAGTTCATACTGTGTGATCCTGTAAATCTGTAAGTGGCAATCCACTCCATGAGTTAATCCATGTAAACAAAGAGTGTCTCTTACATTATAGTATGGTGTTAGCACACTCACAGGCCCATTAGAATGTAAAGAAATTTGGGGTCTGACCATCTGCCTCTCAGGATTAAACATTAATAATACTGTAATGTTGTTGTAATGTAGGTGTGTGGTGCAGGTCTCAGTACTGGCAAGTTTTACTTGTAGATTTAGTCCAATTCCCCACGAGCAGCTGTGCCACCCTCGCGCTTCTATTTCCCCTGCTTGCATTGTTCAATTTCACACTATTTGCTGCACAGATGCATTTTGACCCGCAGCTCCCCCCAATTTCCTCCACGTCTTCTCGATCCTTGTTTTTTGAGATTGAGAAGACACGGGGGAAATCAGGGGAAGCTGCAGGTCAAAATGCATCTGCGCACTGAATAGTGTGAAATTGACCAATGCAAACGGGGGAAACAGAAGAGCGATGGCAGCACAGCTTCTTGTGGGGAATCAGTCTTAGATTTCCCCCCCATATTTTGCTTAAGGTTTGGGACAAGTATAATGTCCAAAATAAATATGGGAATGCATAAAGAGGAAGTATTTTAGTCAACTGCTGACAGCCATTAAAAATAGCTACAAATCGTATCCTTCTGGATTCTTTCCAGTTACTCCATAGAGACAGTCATCTTCTTTAGACAATCTTTTCCCCATCTAGCATCCATTCTTTTTGCCTTCTTCTTCACAGTTGACCTCTGCTGTTTACTCCTCTGCCCCTACCAGGGATTGACACAAGCAGCCATGTTTTCTTATACCTCTAACAATTTAACGAAATTGATGAATTAGTGTAGATCTTATATAACTTAACATCAAATAAAGCTCCAAAGTATTCAAATAAAGCTCCAAAGTATTCCAATTCTTAAGCTATTCTTATTATTTAAGCTATTCTTACTATTTAAATATACTGTTCAAAGCAATTAGTACACAGACGGGTTAAGAATTTGAAGGAAATTTTACAATCCCAGAATAGTCTTCACAATTCCTAAGTGTAGAAGTGTGAAGTCTGTTCTGGGATTGTAAAGTTTCCTTCAAATTCTTAACCTATGTGTACTAATTGTTTTGAACAGGATATTTAAATAATAAGAATAGCTTAAATAATAAGAATAGCTTAAGAATTGGAATACTTTGGAGCTTTATTTAATTTATAGATGGTCTATACCTCTGTGCAAGCAATGGGCATTTGCTAACAATTGCCAGGACTAGGTTTTAATATTAAGCTAAGAATGAAGGACCTTGTGACACTTTAAAGCAGGGGTGTCAAACATGCGGCCCGGGGGCCAGATCAGCCCCCCAGAGGGCTTTTATCAGGCCCGCAAGGGATTGGCTGTCTCCTGCTTCTTTGTCCAGTTCTGCTGCTGCTGTTGCATCATAGCTTGGTTTCCTAGACTCTCTCAGTCGCTCAGGAGAGATAGCTAGGCAAGCTTCTGCTCCCTGCACTGGGCTGAGGCTCCTCCCTCTCCCAGATTGCTACAATATAGACATTATGATGCAATAATTCAGAGCAAGAAGTGTCAGTTATCAGAGACTGTTAAATAAATAAAATATTGGAAGAATGCTAATGTTTCAGGCATGTTTTTATTTTAAGTAAAAAAATCTTTGTGTTTGTGTCCTTTATAAAGTTTATATCTCCACTACCTGACATTACATTTTATGACACACATGGCCTGGCCATGTCTAATTTATGTCAAATCCGGCCCTCCATAGCAAATGAGTTCAACATCCCTGCTTTAAAGGCTAACAGACTTCTTCTGGTATAAACCACTAGTTTTGCCGCAACACAGTGACCTGACTATTATGCTGGAGCTTAAACAAAGAATTGGAGTGTGTATACACACACACAGTTTCAGAAGGATTAGTTACCTATGCAGACTTTTAGAGCTAAATCCATTAAAATAAACCTAAGATCATGCTCCTGGGAAGTTTAACAGTCACTTTATAGAGTTTCCATAAAGAGGTACTCACATACTTTCTTTAAAAATCTTGTCTATGAGCTCCAAAAGTTATGCTGGAAATACCTTCTAGTTTAGTACCAGAAAATCAATCCACCATGTATAGGAGTTGTATTTTATTCACTCTGGAGGCTTATGTAGATATCCCATTGAAATGGGTGCTGTTGGCTTCAATGAATTTGAACTCTAAATAATTTGTAATTCTTTAGTTACCAAAACTGTTTTTTAATTCAAGATTTCATCGGTGGCTCTCAAGTATTGTTTTTTCACTGTCTGAATTTTGTCTTGTTAGCTCACAACTCTTCGAGCTCACAACCTAACCATGATCCTGTAATGAAAAAAATACAAACTGAAGACGAGGAGAAAGAAAACTCTGCCTTTGTTCAGTTCTGTCCTGAGGAATCTGGATTGGCCTTGCTTTCATCTGCTAGCTGTAATAAGGAAGGAGATTTAAAATCTTTAGCTTCTTCCAGGCAGGCTGTAGAGTATGCTTCTTCTGAAGCTGAGAATTTGGAGAAAGAAGAAACTAGCAGTGTATCTACAGAAGAAGATGAGATCAGTGACCTTGAAAGCAGTGAAAATGGCCTGGAACCTGGAGAAATATCACTAGTAAGAGAAGGGTTTGGGGAGGAGAAAATGAAAATAATCTGAGTATGTTCATTGTTTTTGATAACTCCATTTTTTGTTTTGTATCTTGGAATACATTCAAAACTCTATGAATTGACCTTGTGTTTTTAAGTGTCTGGCATGGCATTAGACAGTTCTTGTTTGTTTTATTCTTATATCTAAATATTTTCCTCCTCTTGCTTAACACTTTTGTGTGTAGTATACTTCACACTCCCTCTCACTCAAGCCTCATAACAGCAATAGGTGAATGATTTGTTTTCAGATAGGTCTGAGAGGAAAGTAGGGGTGTGCAATATTTTTTTAATCCGTATTTTTCGGTTTGGGTCTATTGTACCTGAAAAAAATTCAGGATTTCTGAAAAATCCCAGATCACAATACTGGCACAGTATTCAGATCCAGGATTATTAAGAAATCCTGATTTTTTTCGGGTCCAATAGACCCAAGAAGAAAAATACCAATTTATTATGAGGCTGGCTTGGCTTCTCCTGTGGCCCAGTTTAAATTGGGCCTCAGGAGAAGCCAGCACAAAGCTCAGTTTATGGGGAACAATTTGTTCCTCACGGGCATAGCCGATCCTGGTTGGGCTTGCTTCTCATGCAATCTGGGTTTAAACTGCAGGAGAAGCTAGCTGCAGGAGCTGCTGTGCCATGTGGAACACATTGCTCTGCATGGCACAGGAGATCCTGACTGGGCTCGCTTCTCCTGCGGTCTGGTTAAACTGGGTTGCAGGAGAAGGAGCCCAGGAGCTGCTGTGCCACATGGAGCACATTGCTCCGCGTGGCATAGGAGATCTTGGGGCTGGCTTGACTTCTCCTGCAGCCTGGATTAAACCGGGCTGCATGAGAAGCCAGCCCCAAGCCGAGCCAGTGAGAACAGTCTGCTCCAACCAGCACAACTGATCCTTGGGCTGTCTTCTGCAGTCCCTTTAAATTTTAAAGGGACTGCAGTAGACACCCGACAAACAGCTGAGAGGCAGGAGCAATCTGCTCTCGCCTCTCTGCTGTTTTAGGATCTACTTGGTAATCCCCAAATATATCTGGGATCTTTTGGGGAATATTTCCGGTTTTCCTGAGAAAACGCGATACATTTAAGATGCCGAAATCTACCCAAAATTTTCTGGTAAGGTATTTTTCAGGTAGATTTTCAGCTCGGGTAGATCCAAATGCACACCCCTAGAGGAAAGCTCTGACCGGTCTATGTAATGTGCATATTATTCCCCCATTCTTTGTGTTGGTTTGAAAAGGACTATCTGCAGCAAGCTGAAGAAATTAAACTATGTCAAAATAATTAGATGACATTTTTGCAATGCCTTCAAGCATTTATCATAACGATACATTATTTTTGTGGTCCTTCCCGTACCCTGTGAGATAGAACAATATTATTTAGATTTATGATGTGGGTGGGTGGCTGAAGCTGAGAGGACAGTGGAAGGCCTAAGGACAGTTTTTGGTGCTTTACAGCTCACTCTCTTAGCCACCATCCTGCATAGAAGTGCTGTTCATATCATCCCATTTACAAAAGCCATCTAATTCTGATTTCTTTCCATTGAACTTGTAAATATTCATGTGACTGAGACTCCAGGAAATAATAGCATAGCTGTATCCACTAACTTGGGAGGCTCGATCTGCTCCTGGCACCCGCAGAGAGCAGCCCATTTTGGATGCCAGATGTTCCTGGGAGAGTGGAAATATACGTTAGAGCTAAGAATAAAACTGCACTTGCCCTTTTACAGACATAAATAGCAAGCTCATCATTGTTTTACAGAGAGAGGAGATTTACCAGTCCCAAAGCCAGTCCTTCTGTTTTAATATAAAGTGCTAATAAACATCTTCTCAATGGTGAGATTGTATATTGCAGCTTATGTTTAATTCATTTGCTTGGGTACTTTTTAGCTATATTCCTAAGTGGGTTTTCAAATATTTCCCAATATGTTTGCATGCTGTGTCTGTCTTGTAGTAGCACAAAAGCATTTATAGTTATGTTGTTGAAAAAACTAACCCTTTGCCATTCTGCACAGCAACCTTGTGTTGTGTAATGAATCCATCCTATTTTTTAATCATGAAAACAGCTGCACAGCATTAAACCAATGATCCTTCTAGGTCAACATCCTGTTTCCTCCACTGGCTAAACCTAGTAGTGTCAGGAAGTGATACAGCTCCAGGGTACTAATAGAGTATTCCATTTCATATTGCTCACTGCCAGTCTCATGAATTCCAAGCATTATAACCATCTTAACAGATGGAACAGAAGACTGGAACTATTACCCAGTAGTCACTGATATTTTTTCAACTTCAGTAGTAAGCAGAGTTTGGACATGCACACAAAATCCTAGTAAGTTGACTAGTTGAGGAATTTGCTACAGTTAAGGGAATCTCAGCATATATTAAATGAAAAAAGCTGACTCAGTCCTTGGGGTGCGCATTTGGATCCACCTGAGCCAAAAATATGCTCAAAATTACCTTATTGGTATTTTTCAGGTATATTTTGGCTTCCCAAATGTATTTGGGTTTTCTTGGGGAAACCAAAAAAAAAAAAATCCAGAAAAAATCCTGGATATATTTGGGGATTTGGGGTAGATCTGAAAACAGAGGACAGGCAGGAGCAGATTGTGCCCACCTCTCAGCTGTTTGTCAGGTAGGTTTATGCAACTGCATGTCCATCTGATACAGGCTTATTTATCCCCATGCTGTGAAAAGTTTCATTTGCCCATTTCCATACACACTCTGGTTAAAGGGACAGGGTGTTTTTCTTCAGGCCTGTTGGAAACTTTATCCACTTGTTTTGCATCATTAGGAGAGGGCAGTGCTGAGTGGCATCAACACACAGGTCTCTAGAAAGGTTTTCAGCACCTTCAGACACAAAGTTTGAGGACATTGCCTTAAACAGTGTTTCTCACATTCAGTCAGCTGTCAAGACCCTTTCAGGAGCTACTTATCCTTGTAAAATTTCACAATTGCCTAGCTTTTTAGTAGAGTATGCTCTGCAGGAAAAAAAGATGGTCATGAAACCATCCCGAAGAATTTTGAATTATTTTATCACTCACAAAAGGGATTATCTTCTATTCCCTGTTTTTTGGAGGGGATCAGGAGTGGCAGTAATACCAAGCATGGGGGAAAGGGACAGCAGGACTCCCACTTAAACTGTTCATCTTCTGGCTACCTGACAGTAGCCATGCTAAGCAAAGTCCCACAGAATCATCTTAAGAAAAGCATTTCCCAAGTGAGATTTGGATCCATGATGGTTTTGTGACAAAACTGAACTCTGAGATTCCCAGCACTGCTGATCAGAAGTGTCTTTTACTTCAAAACCCCTGTACAGCTGCTATTTCTGTCTTTTTCTCTTGAGGACCACCTGGCTGCATTAGCACTTCAGGTTTTTGTCATGAAGATATGTTCTGTTCTCTGGCAATAATGTCACTTCCATTGTGCTTGCTTGAATTTCTTCTAATTCTAGTCAATTTTATTTTAATGATATTCATCTTGTTTAACAACAACATGTATGTGCATGTAACATTCCTTATGGGAGTAACCTTATGTATATACCCCCCACCCACGATTTGCTAAGCATATTAACAATGCCTATATTAGCTCTCCTCATTGCCCCTTCCCATAGGGAGTTTTGGATGAGGGCTGCCTGTTCAAGAGCATTGCTAGGATTGTGCTGATGCCCTGGAATGGGCTACCAGTGGAAGCGAGGAGTACCTCCTCCTTGGTGGTTTTTAGAAGAACCTGTAAAGAGTTTTATAACAATGAGTTTGTTGTTTCTGTCTTAGGGGATTTTGTGATCATGGTATGGTTAGTGTGCATTGGTTGGCATTTTATATAGCTTCTGGCTTTTAAAGCTTTTTTAGGTGCATCAGTTTTGTTGCTATCAGCCTCTTTTCATTTATGCTGTAAACTGCCTTGAGCCCACATTTGCAAGGAAAGGAAGTCATAGATTTTAATTAAATTATCTCTCTTAGAGAAATGACGGAGAGCGAACAAAAACATCTAAAAGTTGGCGTCATCCACTAAGCATACCCCCTGCCAGATCTCCTATGACGTTAGTTAAACAGCAGGCAACAAGTGACGAAGGTGAGCATGCTTTTACCATCCCCTCAAATAATACATCTTTCAGCCAATATAAACACATTGGCATATAGACTTGAACTATTTTACAACATTAAGGACGAAAGTATGTATCAAAAACTTTGCTGCTCTAAAATGAACTGCATCAAAAGCTTTCAGCGAGCTTCCCTAATACATAATGACATTTTGGGGTGCATTTTTACCTTTTTTTGTCTTTTAAATCCTTCTAAACACATTAAAAGGAACTTGTAAGAAGCTCAGAACAGTATGCAGTTGCTTAAATACTACATGGAGGATAAAAGCTCATTCTGTAACCAGCTAGTCTTTGCTGGATTTCTCAGCAATTAGCTTTAGCACAGAACATTACACTTTATTGAATGAATGCAATGCAAGCAGAGCTAAACAGACCACCTCTGGGCCTTCTGAACCAACAGTGAACTGCTTTGCACTTGTTTCTTTTTTTATATAAGCATTCTAGTTGGATCTTGAAAGAAATCTGATACTCTAGTCAACCTTGATTATTATCTGGTTTGTGAAAGAGACACTGTTTTTGTTCTGAGTAATATCAGAATTACCAATTTCCTTTAATTAAACTTTGAATTCTGTGTGCAAGTTCAGTTACAAATATAAAAGAAAACAAATGCTTTGCTTTTGTCAGCCTAGTTGAGAAAAGCTTCCCCATGGTGTGCATTAATGTTGATCAATCTGAGATGCTGACAGCATGTTCTACACAGCATCTTCCTTTTTTGTGACTCGTCTGCAGCAGCACCACTACACTTCTGATAAAAGAAAATGCTAATCCAGATATCAGGTCAGCTGAAAGGTAGAAGATGAAATGGAAGAAAGGGTAGGTTAGATGTCAGCCATCTGGGATCTGAAATTCCTTCCTTTCAATGTCAGTTGAACATCAAATCCTTGCTGACAAAACATATGCCTCGAAATTGATTGGCTTGTTTCTGTCATGAATACAGATTTCTTGTTGGTGTTACCACTGATTCTGAGACTTGTGGCTTGATTGTTCAGTACTTTGGAAATTTAGTTCACAGTATTGCTGAATCAGGTCAACAGGTCAGTTCAAATTCTTGATAAAATAGAGAAAGGATGTGTGTTATGCAAATATTTGCCTTTATGATGTGTTTTCAATATAAGCTATAGTCCTGTCATCTGATTGTCTCTCTTTTTTGATAAATCATGTTATCAGAGTCATATTTTACCACAACAATATGTATTATATCAATTGTCATATGATATGAAAGTATTTTTGACCTCCTTTTGACCTCCAAAAATGTCAACATAATTCTGTGACCTATAATACATTTCATTTTTTAATGCCCCCCCATAGGGGATTTTTTAATTGCATTTTCTATAAACTACAATGAAATTTGGGAGGGGGTTTACAAACTATAGGAGAAAATAAAAGAAACCCACTAAAAACCCAAGAGATGGTGGTCATACATACTGCTTAAAAAGTTAGCTTTAAACTCAATGTTCAATTCAAGTTCATTGAATGTGGTCATCTAATAATCTATTTAAACTGAAGTAAAATTTAAACACCACCGTATCTGACTTCTTAAAGAGCAAAATAAGTAATAATTATAACAAAACATTGTAAGAGATTTCAAAGTGCAATAACATCTCATCTTTTATACTTTTTCTTTCTCAAGTGGTAGCTTGTCTTTGGGGCTGCCGCCCCCAATTTAGAGTCTGAGTTCTCGTCTGAAGATGCCACTGCTCCTTCTTCTTCACTTTCTTCGGTGCTATCTTCTTCCTCCTCTTCTCCTCCTCCTGCTGGACGACTATGTTGATGCAGAAATTCACGTGCCTTTTCAACAGAGTCAATTTTTTCTTTCTTGTCCATAAATTTGAAGATTGTAGGGAATGTTGTTCTTCTGTAGGAATAAAACCAAGTCTCTATATTTTCTTCTTTTCCTTCTTATTTCAAATGGAATGTCCTTCAACACTTTTATTTCTTTGTCCTTGATTTTCAGGGTAGTTCCATTTGTCGCTTTGAGAATTTGACCTCTCACTTGTCTTCTGGAGAATCTTACCATAACTTCCCCTGGCAGATTATTCTTTCTTGTAAATTCTGAATATGACCTATAGATCATATCAATTTCGCTTTGTAATATATCCGTTTTTATATCTGCCATGGGGCCTAAAGCCTCGCACATAGTCTGTTTCAGCTTCTCTCCCTTCCCTTTTGGAACACCTTGAAATCTTAGAACATAGCTTGCTCTTTCCATTTGTAGCTGTAACAAATGAGACTCCTCCATCATTCCCTTTTTCTCCATTACCTGCAGTTGTTTTTTTGAGCTTCTTGGTGTTGGCATCCACTTCTTTCAGCTCTTGCTCAGTTTTTTCTGGGTTTTTTTTACTATCTCAGTTAATTGAGTCTGCTGTGCATCGAACTCATGGTGGAATGCCGCAACTTGTTCCAGCAGAGGGTGCAAGGCTTCAGTCAGCATCTTTTGCAGCTCTGTAGTTGTGTCCTGTCTAGGCACAGAACTTGCTGGGCTGGCAGTTCTGGCAAGAAGTTTAGGTTTTATTTGCTTGTCTTTCTCATCCTTCCTCGTGGGCGCCATGTTTGGGAATTGTTTACTTTTTATAAAAGTTATCGTGGTCTCTGATACTCTCAAATCTGCCTGGTAAGTTCTTAAATGCTCTTTGTTGTCAATTCGCTTGGCCACCAAACGTTTGCTCCGGTGTGCGATTTCTAGTTCCCATTCAGGACGCTCCGCAGTGGAACCTTCGGGGCATGGAGTAGCCCCCCTTCGCCAGCAGGGTCGCCGGGGAAAGGGCTCTCTAGTGCCTCATGGCTGGGAGCCCAACGCAAGGACTCCAGGGGTGGCATGCACAGTCATGCCTCCTCCCAACCGCGGGCTCTGACGGCTGTCTCCCGGAGCTGCGTGAGAAAGCGATCGCCATGGCGAATGCCAAAACCCGGATGTCTATATAATACATTTCAGATCAGGTCAGGGCATTTCTGCATTCCTATTGCCATTCCTTTTTTCAAAATCTTTTTGTTCTTTTCCCTTGCTAAACTATCTCTCTCAGTAACTCAATTAGCTGCTTTTGTGTATTACTGACTTTTAATATTTAAACCAATACCAAGCATTATTTCTCTTGTAAATGATTGTATTAAGTCACAGGAGTAGTTATGGAGCAAGGTTCTGCTTGCTTGGGAGATATTAAAGCTGCTGACTTGTTAAAATTGTGGTGCAGAAATTTTTGTTCTCCTTCTGTCAAAATCCCCTAAAATGTTAATTATTTTCAAGACAGAAGGAAACCGATAAATAGAAATTTGACTACTCAGGCTTCATTCCTACGTATGCTCACATGTACTTAGTCTATTTGGTATCAGTGGATTTGATGACGTGTATGTGGGTACTGGACTACAGCTATAACAAAAATGGAAATAAGCAGCACTGTTGTCACCATCTACATTGAGCCCATCTATATTCAAGTCACCTCCTGATCTTACAATAGCAGAGATATCGAGAAACAAACACAGAGAAGGTGATAATGGAAAAAATAAAGCAATCTCTGTGGATATCATTGTTCAGTTAATTGTTTTCTTTTGAGTACTATGTTAATGTAGTGATTCTGAACTATTTCTTAATGAGACAGCCATTTTTTTTTAAAGACTGAAGCTTCCAAGAATTAAGAAACCCAAAGCAATGACAAGCAGCATAGCATGAAGGGTACCTGCCCAGATTTATTTTTGGTTTACTCTGCCTAATTGGATTTTTATCTGTTGAAATGTCCCATAGGGAATGCCACATCACTCAGAATTATAAATCTTTATGGGTAGAAGACTATTTATTTATTTAGAAAATGTAAATGCCACCTCTCCAGAGACTTGCTCAAGGCAGCTCACAAAATCATATACTCACAACATAAACACAAGCCATAAAAACCTAGACTCCATCTCCTGGCTAGGTTAAGACAAAGGCTTGGATATTATACTTAACTTGTGCATGCACAACACTTTCCTCCATTGTTTTGCAGAGTGTGTTCCACTGGCAGTAGGTGCATCACACTCATGCAAGGCCAGCATCTTGCGTGAACAGAATGTGCCTAGTACTCAAAGAATGTATTCCACATTGAAGGACAGTACTATGTGAGTAGAAGGATATATAGGCTCCAAGTCAAAGCCCACAGGTATGCTGAAGAAGGGTGAAGAGAACATTGGATCTTCTCTGTTACAAACCCTCTCTTGCTAGGATAAATCCGGGTGGTCAGCAGTATTGGTCTGAAGTAGTAGAACAAATTTAGAGTCCAGTGGCACCTTTGTTGGTCTTAAAGGTGCCACTGGACTCTAAATTTGCTAGGATAAGTAAGGGTGGAGTTGATTAGTAGCATATCTAATTAGGTGTGAGGACTAATCCATCCAGGTAGGCAGGCATTTATTTTCCTGAATAAAAATTAATAATAACTCTGATATAGTCCAGGATAGAGGTTGATGTTTCAAGAATAGGAAGTAATGAACACATGCAGCTGCCTTGGTCCATCAGACTCAGTATTGTCCACTCAGACTGGCAGCAGCTCTCCAGGGTCTTAGGTAAAAGTCATTCACCTCACTTACTACCTGATCCTTTTACCTGGTCCTTACTACCTGATCCTGTTACATTCATGGACCTCAAGGCTGCTTATTGATTTATTTTATTTATTTGATTTATACCCCACGCTCTCCACTGGAGCAGTCTCAGGGCAGCTTACATAAGAGATTAAAACAGATAAAAACAACATTTATAATACATTTAAAAGTGCTAGTGTGCAATATTACAAATATGATGGCTGAACACAGTATCAGATCAATCATAGTGGGAATACAGTCAGCACTAATTTTGAGACTATTATCTCAGTCCCATACTAAATTCCAATTTATACCGGCGAGGAATAGGCTGCTGCTGATGGTTCCAGGATGTAGAGTCTTAAACGTATACTTAACTCTCAGGTATGGCTCCTCAATCAAATGCCTGGTGGAAGAGGTCCGTCTTGCAGGT